GTCGGCTTGATTTAGGGAGGCGCCGATCATGAAGAACTTGTCTGGGCTTCCGTTGATTTTAACTCGGTCTAGGCCTTCCGTGGCCTTTTCACTTGGGAGCCGTCCAACATCGTCAAGGCTTTCCCGATCTGGCACCTCAATGGAATTCACTTGCAACTCCTTTGGCGTCTTTCCAGTGAGGAGATAATATGCTTGTGTTGATTTCTGAGAGCCACGGATTTGCTCAAGGCTGTGTTCTGTCGGGAAGCGTAGCAGCTGATGATAGGTACTTGGCACGGCCTGCATGGTGTGCAACCAAGTTCGCCCCATGATGAGATTATACGGCGACGGCAGCTTGACGACCAAGAATTCTACTTCCACTGTTCTGGAGCCCGCTCGAACGGGTAATGTGATTTTCCCCAATGGGTATTCTGGATTGGCGTTGAAGTCGAATAGTGGATAAGGTGCTGGAGAGAGATCTAATTCAGAGAAGCAGAGTTTGGTGAATGTCTTGTAATACATAACTTCCGATGTGCTCCCCGGATCAATGAGTACGCGCTCAACGGTGAATCAATTTATGCGTAATTCGATTACCAAGGGATCGATGTGGGGGAGTGCCACTTCGGCCAAATTTGAATCATAAAAAATAATGCTCGTAGCTTCATGGGGCCGTTTAGCTGGAGTGAGTTGATTTTGAGGACCAGGATTCGATTGAATCGTATGTACCGTGGATGACATTGGCAGGCTATATATCATGTGGATCACGCCGAGTGGAGGTGAATCTTGTCGTAAGGCTATTGCTTTGGTTGAGTTGCCTTTGCGGACATACTATTATAACCGACCATCTTGTACCAGTTCCTCCAAGTGATCCTTCAATGCGTAACAAGTCTTAGTATCATGGCCATGATCTTTGTGATACTTGCACCGTCTATCCCATCTTCTTGTTTCGGGAGGTCCCACCATTTTGGACGACCACTTGAAGAGCGGAAGGTGTTGGATTTTGGACATAACCGCACTGATCGGTTCCGATAACTCTGTGTATTTCTTGTCGGCGCGCCTTGTGTACCTGCTATCGACTTACAGTTGTTCATTTGTTCGGTGGGGGCATTGGTCGCTCGATCAGCGAGAATCCTGTCTCTTGTCTCGTTTAGCCCGATGCCGTGGTTCGGGGCTCTGAGGTGGTGTGGAACTTATCAGCTGAGCAATTTCAGAAGGGGCCATCTTGTTGGCCACGTTTTCGGCTTTAACTCGCAAGGCGTCATCCTCCACTTTGCAGTATTCCTCCACTTTCTTCATCAACGACCAGACTGTTTTGGGGGGTCTTTTAGTCAAGGAGCTGCGAAGAGCACTGTCAGGATGCAAACCCATTTTGAAGGCGGTGATGGCCATGGAGTCGTTGCAAGTGTCATCAACAAGATTAAAGCACTCCCAGTAGCGTGCCGAATACGCTCTTAGTGTTTCTCCTGGCTGGATCTGCATTGCCCAGAGAGAGTCGGCTTGTTTTGGCTGGACCTCGTTGGTAATGAATCTGGCCCTGAAGGATTTTTGTAATTGATGGAAGCTCTTGATCGATGCCGGCTCCAGTTTATAATACCACCTGACAGCCAATAGTCCCAAAATGTTGGAAAATATTCAGCACATGAGGGCCTCGTCGTCTGCATACAAAGTCATGCCTTGCTTGTAGTGACGGATATGATCGGTGGGGTCTGATTTTCCATCATAGAGAGTGAACGACGGAGCTTTGAACTTTTTGGGCAGGATCGCCCTTGCGATCTGTCGTACAAAGGGATCGTGCTGGTCTTTTTTGTCTGAGCTGTTTCTTCTTCCTTTATGCCTTATATGTATACTCTCTTCAGAAGAACTAGTAGCTTCGAGTCGACTCTTCTTTTTGGGCTCCGGGGATAGTGAGTCAGAGTCGCTGTCAGTGTTTTGTTGTCGGGCTCGAGGTTGTAGACCACCCATCCTCAAAGGTCGTTTCGGATCTTGGCATACAGCTTGTTTGGACTTCGCTACTTCCAAGGCCAAATCCTGGCGGAGACGTTCGTTCTCAGCGATCATGTTCTCCAACCTTTGTTCGTTTTGCTTTGCTTGCTCCATAATCGCTTGCATTGCCTCTTGTGTTGATGTCGAGGGTGAACCGAAGTTCAAGGCCCTTCTTGCGGTAATATTCTCTGGCCCAAGCATATTGCTTGGAGTGGTCTCATCTTGTGGTGTAGGGTCGACAGTGACTGCCGGAGGATCTTCCATCGCATCCGCCATGGATGTGCTTGAGTATTCCCACAGACGGCGCCAATTGTGGGGAAGTGGTTTGGAAATACTCTTCCGGTCCTGGGGGACGCTTGTGATCCTCAGCTAGTCACCTGAAAAGGAATGAACACTCTGGTCGGGCGTGCCAGAATTAGCACTCCGACAGATAAGTCAGTGTATACTCTCTTAATTACTTGTATCTTAAGTTGAGTTCACTAGTTCTCATATACATTTCTCTGACTGATGATCCCGTATTTATAATGTTCTCTTTAGGCCTTAAGGCCAGGCCAATCCTTGATCCTTTATATGTACTTCTACTCGGCCTTTATTCTACTGGCTAGAGTGCCAGTTATTTTATTCGCCTCTTTGATTGACTAGGATTAATGTCGAATAGAGGTTACGTTTCGGACCGGAGGGGTCCAATCGTCCTTATTGATCCAGTTAAATTCGGCTCCCATAGATATTTTTAAAATTATAAGAACAATAATGATTGTTTTGATTGAAAATAAAGAGACTACGATATGATTATCTATGAAAATTTTAATATAATGGTGATCTCTATTATTATTGATATGCAAATATAATTAATCTCAATGAAAATATAGAATTTATTGAATTGTTAATTACATTTAATATGCAGGGTTCATCCTCTATGTGTTTCTTTATTATTGGTTGGTAATATCACATGTTAATGATTACGTGGTATGACTATTATATTGAACATTTAAGCATATTTTGTGTAAAAAATTACTTTGCCATTATATAATTTAATTTAAAACTTTATATCGATGATTTTTTTTTAATGTTGTCCATGATACACTAATTACAAATAACATATTTACTTTGTTTGATTTGAGTTTTTTAAAAACACTTTTTAAAAAATTTTACATTTTTGTTTTTATTGAATTTTTTTAATATTTTAAGCAATTTTTTTTTTTAATTTTTAGACACACCTAACATAAATATACTTAAAAAGTATAATTTTTGAGAAAAAATCTTTAAAAAATTCATTAAATACCAAAAATATAAAAAAATAATACATTTTTTTGCATTTTTATGTATTTATTAAATTTTTAAAATATTTTTCACAAATATTATTTTTTTTTAGATACATCATGCATCCAAAATTTGTTTAAAAAAAAAATTCTTAAAATTTTGAAAATATTCACTAAAAACAAAAAAAAATAAAATAAAAAATGAAAAACTTAATTTTCAAAAAATTTAATTCAAAAAACTCAAACCAAACACACTCATTTTTTATTTTATTTTATCTTTATTGAAGTTAATCGTAAAAATTTATGTGAAATATTTTTGTAAATATTTTCAATGTTGTAATTAAGAAGTGCCCCCTCTAATTTATTTTCTTGGCTCCGCCACTGGCTGTGGGGGTCCACCATGGGTCTCAGTTTGATAATCCAAATCGTTTCAATATGTAGAACTCATCTAGTACTATATGGTTGTAAAAAATCACGTCTATCAGATATCGCTAACTATATGATCAAATAATTTTATATAAAATTGGATGGTATTATAGTTAACAATTGACAAAGAAAACTAACACGATCAGATAGCTATTGATACCCAATCAACGTGAAACGTGATTTTTTACAAGCATATCGTACTCGACGAGTTCTACACATTAAACGGTTCCGATTAGAAAAACGGAACCCGTGGTGGGCTCCCACGGGCCGAACAACACCGTTCAATTTTTGCCCGAAAAGGAGGTAATGTTTTCTCATGTATTCACCAAGTCGATTGTAATGTTCCGTCCGTACGGCATACTACATATCTTCTCCCACGTACTTCTTTACACAATTTTTTAATGCACATTTTTTTATAAAAAGTTAAAAAGTTAACCCAAATATCCATATTTTGTTCATCAACTTTTTAATCTAAAAAGACAAAAAATACACTTATTTAGGACACCCCAAACAATTCCTTAACTAATTTTTAAAACAAAAAATACTAATTATTGATATTTTACTAATATAAATTTACAATAATATTTTTTAACATGTTTTAAAAATATATATGTTTAACAAATTTTTTTTTTTTTAGAACAAAGCAAAACACCCCCACACGCGCGCGCAAACACACGCACATTATATATTAGGAAAAGGAAAATGAATTGTGGCCCTAAAAACAGTGGCCCTAATGGCCCTAATTTTCTTTTCTGGATAAGTTTGTTCTTTTTTTCTTTTTTTTTTTTGCCTTGTTTTTTTTTTGTTGCCTTATATGGAAATTTAGGGCCATTAGGGCCACTAAATTTCGAGCTACCAACCAAAACCGTTAGGAAAATTGTGGTGGTTTGGTTTCGTGGGTTCTTTACTTCAAGTTACTGTCACTCTAATTTCCTTCAATTTCTTTCTTCCCCAGAAAACATTCTCAGTCTGGTTGGGTTTTGGTTTTTTTGGGATAGATCAACGGTTGATTTTCCCAGAAAATCTGTTTCATTAATTTTCTTGGGAAAATATCGAAAACCCTAGATTTGTATCAAAGGGGAATTTCTGCATCCGTTGTTCTTCTTCGGTTTTTTCGTCGATTGGTGTTGTGTTTGAGAGTGTACATGCAAAGTCAGGGTTCAATGGAAGATCCAATGGTCATCGATGCTGATGAATCGAAGAAAATGAACAGCAACCCAGGTCACGAAAACAGTGCAAACAAGTCTCTGAAGAAGAAGAGGAAGACAGCTTATTCTTCTTCACTGGTCCAAACATTGACCACAGAAGACAGAGAGGGGGAAAGAGAAGAGATAGATTGAGAAGGATACATACCTTGATGAAGAAGAGAGCTGCAAGCAAAGATGTGAATGATGGAGTTGCAGAGACGTGAACGGTAACAATTTCGCGGGAAGAAGGGTTTCGGTAGGATTTGGAGAGTGATTCAATGCTCTTCAAAGGTAGCCAGCGGGGAAGCAGTGGGGAAGATTGATGGTAAAGTAGCTAATGTTTTAGCTAGCCCGTTGGAGGGCCCCGGAGTTGTGATTGGTTAAAATGCAGGCCTCCTTCAGCGACTCTTTAGAGTCGAGAAAATAAAAGAAATTATTTTATATTATATTATTAAAATATTTTTTTATTTTATTAATTATTTTATATTTTATGTTATATTATTGAAATAATTTTTTATAGAAATAAAATTAATATTATGAAAATATAAGAATGTATTGGTTTCTTTTTTTTCTTAATCTCTTTACTTTTGAAAATATTAAAAATGAGAGTTATAAGAGAAATTGATTTTTTATTTTTTTATTTTTTATTCCTCCTCGTTTCTCTCCACTTAAGTTATTCTAATAAGTAAGAGAAATACATATATCTCATTTTCCCCCCTCCCTCCCCTCACCAAATCACTCCATCTAAACATAGTGTAAGGGATTTTTATTGATAAGCTTTATTTGGAGATTTTGGAAGGGGTTTAAAAATAAATAAATAAATAAATTTATATGAAATTAGGTGAAATGTGTTTTATTCTTATTTTATCTACTTTTTCTTTTTTCTTTTTCTCTTTTCTTTCTAAATTTCTTTCAAAATTCCTCGACTAGTTTGAGATGTTCTAACCAATAAGTCCATGAAATTTGTAGCCTATTTAATATTGGTGTTTAGATGAAATTTTTTTCTTATTTATATTATTTGTTTGATTATTATACTCTTATTTCTATTGTCGATATGTATTATAGGCAAAAAGAATATACACCTTTCTTTTTTTACTCTCTTTTGGTTTTGGTGGTTATCATTATTCACGCTTTTGATTTTGATTCAGTTTCACTCATGTTGTGATAGGGTTTCGTTGCTGTGGGATGAAGATGACAAATCAAAGCTATGTGTATTGCATTAGTGTTGATCGTTTGGGCTCTTTTTTTTACATAATTGTGCAAAGTCAATCATTGATCCGATAAAGAGAATAAGTATAAAATTAATTATGCAAAATCAGTCATTGATTAAAAGGGGAAAATGAGTACGTAATTTCTTCTCAAGGTTAGTATCGTTTTGTTTAAGGATGCATGTTTATTTATGTTTGAATTTATATAAAGGATTGTATGCTCTGCTTTTTACTTTCAACTTCATTTTTTGGAATATATTATTTATGTGCATTTTCTAGAATACACAGAGATGTAAGTTTATTTTTTTCGAATGAGCATATGATTTTTGTTTGGTAATACATGCACGCAAAGCTCTGATTTTTGGATAATATTCATGTTATGTGAATAATGTGAATATTCACATATTATTAATTATATTTAGGGATGGCTATTTAAATCCGATCTGCAATAGCTTGTCTACACCTACCTGAATGGGGTAGATTTTACCCGCTCTGACACATGTGGTGCGGGAGTGAATTATGGTTTAGTCACTCGCAACGGGTGTGGGGTGGGGGTGGGTATTGCTTTCCTCGATCCAAACCTGACCCGATATAATTAATAATATATGTATATATAATATAATTAGATATAAGAAAATAATACTCAGAGGAAAATGCTCAAAGGAAAACTTTTAAACCGAGTCCTTTATGCATGGAAACTTGAGATCGAGACACCGCTCACTAGGATAGCCATTTTAATCCAATTCACAGGATCCGTCCATATCCACCTGAATGAGGCGGATTTTACCCACCCTGACACTTATGTAGGACAGGGATAGATTATATTTTGATCACCCGACAACGGGGTCTGGTCGGTAGGGGCAGGGAATGGCAAACCCGTCCCATGACCATCCCAAGTTATATCATTATGAAAGACTGTATGTTGTTTATTGCTAGTATATTTTGTGGTGTGAATCAAATCATTGAACTATTTAAATATCAAACCATTGATTTTAACAATGAAATTACTTTGAATAATCGTATTGTCTTTTCAATTAAAATGTATTGTCACACTATTATTTTTCCAGCCATGTAATCATCTTACATTATTATTGTTCATTCATTGAGTTGGAGCAAAAATATATTTATTGGCCTCGTTTGGGAAGTGACTATTTTAGTAGGCTATTTGGCTTTTTGACTATTTTAGTAGGCTATTTTAGTTTTTGTGTTTGGGAATATGAGATGAATTTTTAGTTGAGTTGTTGTATTAGAAAGTGTGTTGAAATGATGTTTGAATTTAAAATGACAAATTTGTCCCTGAATTATAATTTTTTAAAATGATGTGAAGGGGTAAAATGCCTACACTGTCCGGGCTACAGCCTATTTTTTTTTTTTTAAAACTTGTGAACAGTGTTGCTTTTGGGCTTTTTTCTCAAATGAGGCTATAATAGCCTCATTTCCGGCTTCCCAAATAGCGCCATTGTTTATCAACATTTTTCTATATCCTTGATTCAACTATCAATGGTAGTTAGTTATTTGCTAGGCTGTCGAGCGTAACCTTCTTTTATCTTACCATATTTTGAGGAGTAGAGTTGCTCAAATTTTTACTTGTGGAAATGCCAAGAGTAAGAATATGATTATAAGTTAATTTGAATTACTATTTTATTAGTGGATTACAATAGCGGATTTGCTAGACATTTTCACATATTAAGGATTGTTTATTATTTATGGATTTTGATATTATGATAATTAATGTTTTCTTTTGAGTATTTTATCTTGGTGGTTTATTTGATTTGATTCTTAACCTTGCATGTTCACATAGATGAATGTGCGGTGTTGTCATGAGACTTGGAGCGTGATACATATAAATAGAAAAATGATATTATTATCCCTCTTTATACTGGAATGTATATTTATTCATATTTATTTTTGTATCTTTATACCATCTATATTAGTTTCGATCACTTTAAGCTTATTAAAAATAAGATTAATGTAATTATATTAAAATTGCAAACTTGATGCATTTTTTTGAAACTTTAAGGGAAGTCAACATAATTTTTTCAAAATAAATAAATAAATAAATAATTGAACATGTTTAGTTAAATAAGCTTCATATACACCAAAGAGTGTTGTTGAGTTAGTAAGGGCTTGTTTGGCAAAGGTTAAAATTTGGTTTTTTAGGCTAAAATTCATAAAAAGACAAAATAAGTTAAAATAGTCAATAAAACAAAATGTCATATCAAATATATAATTATTTCACTTTTTCTCTCACAAACATCACATTCAATTACAAAAAAAATTTAATCATCTTCTCAAACACAAAAATTTTAACCTATTAAATTAATTAAATACTAAAATAACCAACTTCCCAAACAAAGCCTAAGACGAGTGTAGTTGAGTTATTAAGACTTGGATTATAACCTCTGAATTTTTAATTTAGCTAGGTTTATAAATTAAAAATAAAAATGTAATATAACTTTTTTATTATATAAGATAAATTATAAACATACTTGTGAGATATGCTTAAAATATAGATTACTTCTTGTAATTTAAAAAATTTAAAATATATCTTTATTAGAATTTTTATTTGATAGAATTAATTAAAAATATGAAATTGCACTCATACACACTAATAAAATTATCAGAGCTATTAATTAAAATAAATTATTAATATCATTAAAAACTATTAATTGACTTGATAAAATATTAACAAAATATATTACAAAATTAAAAATTTCAAAGAACGAGACGTAGATGATTCATATTTCAAACATATTTGTAATTTATCCTATTATATAAATATCTATAATATTATCAATATTTTTATACACTAATAACGACATATTCAAGGGTTTAAGTTTTAAGAAGTTATAAATTAAAATTAAGACATCTGAAGAACAAACAGAGAATTTGTCTCAAGCATTTGATCAAACAGCCCTTGGGCTTCCCTCATTCGACAACAATGAATAACCAGTAACAACTGAAGCCCAAGTCCTCACATTCTTGCCTGCAAACGAGTCAAAGAGTGCTTGAGCCTCGTCTAATCGGCCATTTTGGGAGTACCCACAAATCATGGAGCTTTAATCCAAGCTGCAGTCTCTCTGAATCATATCATCAAACAGCTTTCGATCTTCTTCATTGACTCGACCGAGCCTTCCAAGCTCTTCAATCCTCCTCGTGTTGCATTGAAAAAGGTTGGATTGTGGGGTCTCTTCTCTTCAATTGGTTGAGCAGGAGAGAGACCAGCGAGAGAAACAAAAATTATCGCCGCAATTAGGAACTGTTTGGATTGTGGGGTCTCTGTCTCTCTCCGTCTATCTCTCTCTCCTATTTTTGTCCATTGAATTCGTCTTTAAATTACATATACATTCAGTCTCTCAACTGATCCCCAATTTTCCTGGGAAGCAAACACATCCCAGATTGAATTTTTCTGAAACCCTAGTAAAAATTTTGATATGGAGAGTTGTCGCCCCTGTAAGAGTTGTGGAAAGAGGACTATCATCTCCGATGATGCAACGTGCAGCTTGGTTTGCTCATCGTGCGGAGTCATCCATGAATTTGATGATTTACAGCACCATTTTGGCGGCCTCAGTGGCCCCATCGAGACATTTGTCCGCACCGGCACTGCTGGTACCAGTAATGTCTGTCGTTACATGGAAACAAAAATATACAGAGCTAAAGATACCCTTGAACGCATTACTTCATTGTTGAATTTTTGGCCATCCAAGACGAATGAGGTTAGGGTTATGGTGGAGACTATTACTAAGGGAGAGTATGGTTAGGGTGATTGGTTACCTGTACTTATTGGTGCTTGTGCTTATGTTGTAATGCAAAAGGATAATAAACCTTTGCCGCTTTCTGAGGTGGCCGATAAGGTCGGTTGTGATATTTTTGAGCTTGGTTGGATGGTTAATCGGGTTGTTGATTTTCTTGAATTGAAATTGCCGGAGTTTAGTGAATTCATTTGAATGGGTGGTCAAGACTTGTTTTGATGAAAATTTAATGGAAAAGGAAAAGATTGAGAGAATTTTAAAACAAGGGATTTTTTTAATGCAGTGTTTGGTGAAGTGGTATTTGACGACAGAGCGGAGATTGATTCCGATTGTTGTGGCCGTATTGGTATTTGTTGCACAATTGAATGAGGTTGATGTTCGGCTAGAGGACATGGCAAAGGAATTACATGTGGATGTTGGTACATGTGAGTTGCGGTATAAGGAGCTTTTAAATAATCTTGTGAAAGTTGCACAAGCATTGCCTTGGGACAAGGATATTACGGTTAAGAACATCATGAAAAATGCACGATTCGTGATTCAATATATGGAGTTGAAGTCAATGTCTAAGCATGGTGAGAAGAGGAAGAGTTTAGAGCATGTTGGATTTGATTTGGATGGTTTGGTTCGTGATTGTTTGAGCAAAGAAGTTGAATTTGGGATGGATAGTTACGGCATGGAAAATGATTCTCAGTATTTTGAGGTAGAAGATCCGACTGGTTCCTCAAGATGGAGTATAGATGATTTGGAGAAGCTCAAGATTTCACATGAATGCTTGTCACTGTTATATTCAGAGTTATCAAATGAAGTTTCTAATGCCAATTCAGTGGGAGAGAGTGAGAGTGACAATAGAAGGAAAAGAGGGATGGGGTTTGACGTTTTAGAGTATAGGGAGTGGTGGAAAGGAAAATCAGAACTGAGCAAAAAGCTTTTCCTCAAGCAAATACTGGAGAAAGATGTAGGACTGAATGCTTTGCCTTCCTCTTTCGTCTCGGGATGGTTGGCATATTAAAGGAGGAGAGAAAAGATAAAGGCTGCTAAGGCGCGTATCGATAAGATTTTGTGTTCACCAAATGCCAAATCAAGTGACAGGGATGATGACCTTTGCATTTTGGAATGCTTAAATGGTGGGAATAAACGAAGGAGAAAGAAAATGGTCATTGATGTTGATTGGGAAGATTTTATTATTGAGACCCTTCTCCTTCATCGGGTGGAGGAGGAGGAAATAGAGAAGGGGCACCACAATACCTTACTGGACTTGCATGTCTTTAACTCTGAAAGTGTGTAATTAGCTTTATCATGGTTGGAATTGTGGCTTGAATCTACTCAACTGCATAGGTCACTGCACTATTAGAGAGAAGTTTTGTAATTTTTACTCCTCCAGCAGGAGGGAATCTATTTTTGTTACCTATTTCTGCAAAATTAATACAAGGTATCAAATTTTTTTGTTATAGAATTTTGGTTTCCACATATTTATGTGACATATGAGCTTGTTCCTTGAATTTATTCAGTTTCACAATGTGAAGAGCTTGAAAACTCCATGCTTTTTCTTTTTCATCAAGGAGTGTGCGGCAGGGATCCATTGAGATTGATTCAAATTGGACATGTATGGGGTTTGCTGCTGATAGATCTACCCATTCTTTTTGCTTGAAGTGTTATATATTCTGTACAGATATCTCTTGTTTGTAGTACTCTATTTTTAGTTAACTTTTCTTTCTCTCCTTGTATTTATTTATTTGCCTTTTTTTTATTTAAATATCAAATGCTAAGTGATACTCTGGGAATTTTTTTCAGCAGTAATTTGATTCAAGTGATCACTTCGGCCCAAAGAAAAATTGCCAGTGAAAAAGTGCTTGTTTGCTTGCGGGGGGGTGCTTGGAGATAATGGGGCTAAGTGGATTGGTGCGTCCCTTTTTCATTTAAAAAGTACAAAATAGAATGCTCATTAGACTGGTGCTAATGCAGTGAAATGGGGAAAGGAAGGAAAAATTGAATACTTTACTCTGAATTTTTTTGGGTGACACTTTTACAAAATCATACCATTTCAGATTATCTTCATAAATCTATTTGAAGCTCAAATTTCAATCTAATCTTGATGGCACCTCGTAGTTAATAATTTGACACACAATAACTTAACTTTGAGAACTGTAACTATCAGTCATTAAGCAGCTAAGGCCATGTTGAAAACATAGAGGCAACAGGTATTGGCCCTTTTGTTGATATTTGTCATTGTAGGGTCGAGTAGCTTGCTATAAATTTGAAAGCTATTCTTCCTGACTGAATAACAGGGAGATCATATCTGGCCAAGTAAAAACATTTCAATCTTTGAAGCAGCTGACTTTCATTGTGCTTGTGGTTGGATGAGAGAGAGAGAAAGAGAGAGAGAGAGAGAGAGATTGCCATTTGTCAAGAGTTGCATAAGGTTTTTGTGATGTATTAAGATGAAGCTGCTTCTTATTTTATTTTTGTAGAAAAAAAAAAAAAAAACCTGTAAAGGGGCTTTCAATGATGTTTGGAGGAGTTCAAAAATAAGATAATTGACAACATTGCAAAATTGCCACAAAGTTTGGAGGAGATCAAAATTAAGATTGTACTAATTTCAAAATTGCAACACAAAAATGATTGGATTTATTTGTTTTTGGTGTCCGACATGGACACGACACGGATACGTTACCTTCTTAGAAGTGTTCATTCTTCTTAAGTTACAAGGTTTAAAAATGTTGCCGAAGTGTCTGTAAAGTGTTCGATATTGTGAATTTAAAATTTTAAATAAGACATGTTAAAGAAATGTTGGGCACGCTTTTAGGAGAGTCCATAGAATGTCGATGTCCAACAAGACACGACTTCTTCATAGAAGTGGCTGTTCTTCTTAGTCTACATGTCTATATGTCACTTTGTATTGGCTACTAGAGCTGCTATGTCACATTAATATCAGCTGCTCACTTGGAGAGGAAGCATTTAGACATGCTGAATGATGACAATATTTTTTATTATCTAATCTACCTTCAAATTGATTTGCGTACCTTCACAAATCTTAGTCTACCTTTTTTCCTAGGGTAGGAAATTGTACAACCATGCTTTGTCGTGGTTGCGTTTTCTGTTCTTTATTCTCCTTGCACCAGGTTGAATAGCTACTCTGTTCTGAGGTTTACTATATCTTATATCATTTATCCTCCTGATGCTGCTAATGTTTCTCAAATCAAAATTGTTTCTGTATTTTGACACTACAGACAGTGGGCGTCAATATTGAAAACCAACTGCAGACAATGGGTGCCGATATGAAACAACTCTGTCAAAATTCATGCATGATGTGATGCGTTCATTTTCACCAGATTTCATGGAAGGGTAGCTCCTGAATTATCTCCTCAACAAAATAAAAATGTTAATCTCACAACTCATGAAAGCTCAATGATTGGTGTTGACAATGACCCTAAGAAGGGACTTTGCAACAAAAACTCTTTGGCCCATCAATATTGTATGGAACCCATGAAAGATAAACGTAATGATTTATTGTCGAAGAAAAAGGATGATATTGGTACGAGTGAAAAGTGAAATGTGAGTGTAGTGAAAAATGACACAGCGAAGAAACCGTTCCCAACCGAGATTCCAGTAGTAGTTGATACTTCAGAGAAAGATTCAAGCTTGGCATCATTATTTTGCTGAGTCAAAAAATCTGATGATGAAAGATGGGATGGTCAAGAGGATTTGTCAACACCAGTATTGCTAGATGGGTATCACTCTTGTGTGAAGGAAGCGGAAACGACTAACCATGTAAATGCTAAAGCTGACAAGTCAAATGTCCTGCCATCAGCTAATTCAGTTATTTTAGGTGAGTCCTGCAAATGTAGAGTTTCTAATACTGTACTTACTTCAGGTGATGTTTTCTCAGCAATATCAAATGGTAAGGTTCTGTTATCCTATTTGTTCTATGTGCTTCTTTCTTTACTTTTATTTACTTCTGTTAATTTCTACTCTGGCTGGTGCGGCTACCTTTGTGACTATATCTGTGACACATTCTGTTGGCTTGGGATTGAGCTATCTAATAAAGTTTCTGAATCAGAAGATTATGTTTCCATTGTAGATTCTGATAACTTGTTATTTCTGTTTTTTCTCATGTATTTTGATTTTTTTTTTTTTTGAAATATTGGAGCCCAAGATAATTGTGCCGAGAGGGGGGGCTATGAATAGGCCAATTTCAAGAATTATCTCAAGGTTACCCAATTAATTTTGATGATTCAAATTAAATTGTGATCACATTGGAAAATCCAAATAACTTCGGGATGGAAGACACATCAATTAACTTGGAGACCCTCTAGGAAAACTCTCCAAGAGGGGAAAGCCATGGGCCCAATACTCAGCAAAATCTACTACAGGACACACAGGAAGGATTACAACCAAACCTTGGTTAACCCTATCTCTGAAGTCTTGAAATGCTCCACAAGCACAACCTTGCCCAGTCAGCCTCGTTTGACTTGATTGAACAGCACAAAGCTTCGCTCCTCAACCTTCATACACCGACAACTTTGTTAACCCAACGGTCAGGAGTGAGAGGACAATGCAATGCAGGATTTTTTAAGGTTTTTGTTTTTGATCACTCACTCATTGTAGTGATGAGTTTGCAGAAGTTGACAGAAGTTTGGAACCAAGTTGAGGTGAGGGGACTATGAAGCCTCATTACAAGCGACCATTTTCAGAGTAGCATTACACGGGGCCCATTATGGTTACAAAATTAGTGGTTTTAGGTATTATACCTAAACAAAATTAGTTAGCTTAGACCTTGTAATTATTCAATATTCCACTAGCGTTTCGTGTCGTTGATTCAGGAAACGGAAATATTTTGGCCATTTCAATGGAAACAAAATGAGATTTTGTTCCTTACTCCTAAAATGGTTCTTATGTTGAAGTTTGATCCTACAACCAGGAGGTATTTGTCCAAGCTTTGATAGACTCTTTTATGCAAATCATTTTGTTGTTTTGCTACTCATTTTCAATTGTTTGTTTAATTAACCTAAAGCCGCTTGGGTGCTTGCTTTCTGATTTTATTCTTCGGGTAATATATATTGTAAACTTCTTTTAGGTTCTATGAAGCTTCATTTTTTTCTTACCTCAGAAGATTTCAATATGGAAAACTTGACCTTTTTTTATTATTGAATGATTAATTGTTGAGCATTTGATTGGATTGAGATATATTTTTCACTTGATCAATTTAACTTGGGTTGTGGATTTAGTGCCCTTTTTTAATCCCCCCTCAAAAGTAACTTCTCTTACATTACAAAAATAGTTCCTTCCAATCAAATTATGTTGTAGATAATTGATAGTACTAACAAAAAAAGAAAAGAGAAACTAGTACTCAAAATCAATGAGGGAATAGGTTGCTAAATAAAAAAATACATAGCAAGCTACTTAATTAAGAAACATGTATATGACATGTAGAGACCAAAAGCATGCCAATATGAATATATAAGATTAAATGAAAAGAACCTAAACCTGCATTAGCTAGGCAGCAAGGTGAGAAGCATGCTAGCTAGATTCGTTAAAAGCATAAACTTATCTAAAACTAATAGTTCTTTGTAAAAGCATTAATCAAACATACGCAAAGTTTATAACCAAGACTAACTTTACACAAACATATGCTTCACTAATGTATCAAATAATGCTACCTAGAATTTTAATGAAACCATAAATTCAGATAAAGGAAATGAAGAAACTGAAAAGAATGAGAGAGCTCAAAGAAAATATTTTAGGTGTTTCTTTACATTCAAAGTTTTCAAAGACTTTACTAAGGCTCACCTTGATGCTCACCTTGCTTCAAGGCTAAGGTAAAACGTATCAAGACTTTGATTTTTAGGCTACTCTCCCTAAAGGCTTGCACCTCACAATCTGAGGCTTGCGCCTTAGGTGTGCCTTGTATGCCTTTTGCACATAAGCCTATGATGAGTATGCATATAAAAAGGTTGCCTTAGACTCTTGTGAAACTTAGTCTAGTAGATAGTCTAAACATCAAAAAAAAAAAAAAACCCCCTTTTGTGTCTATATTCTATTGGAAAAAAATAAGTCAATGAACAATGAACAAAAAATGCAAAGTTAATGCTCAAATGAGAAGCTCAATCACCAAAGCTAAGAATGTCAATTTCACTTGCAATGAAGGCAAGTTTCATTCTTTGCAATGAAATGTTTGATGCCTTAAGTACAAAATTATTTATACCTTATAGTTAATTTTTATTTGTTTTTTTTCACTATTTTAAAATATTTAATTTATTTACTAAATATTAAAATTTAAAATTTGAAATGCTTACGTCTAAACACCTCGAATTACGCATTTGCCTTTAAAAACTTTGTTTACATTCATGTTAATGAAACCTTTGCTTTTATAATGTATCATTTGTTTAGTTTGTTAATGAAATCTTTGTTTTTGTTTTCACTATTGTATGTATTGTACAACATTGGTTCTATCGAATCGGCATACTGAAAAGGCGCTTGCTTCTGAAAAAAAAAACTCCAAGTTTCGAAGTCAGGACCACAAGCAAGATGTTTGAGTACTTTCCACTAAACCACAATGCTTCACTTTACCCCTGTGGTTTGGGTCGAGTGCGGTTTACCCCCCTGACATTTGGAAATCACCACATAATCCCCATGTGGTTTGTGGACTAAAACACACACTAACTTCTGTTAACAGAATGTATAAATTTTCCTTTATGCCCCTCTCTTCTTCCTCTTCTCCCTTTTATTCAAAGTTTTCAAAGACTTTACTAAGGCTCACCTTGATGCTCACCTTGCTTCAAGGCTAAGGTAAAACGTATCAAGGCTTTGATTTTTAAGCTACTCTCCCTAAAGGCTTGCACCTCACAATCTGAGGCTTGCGCCTTAGGTGTGCCTTGTATGCCTTTTGCACATAAGCCTATGATGAGTATGCATATAAAAAGGTTGCCTTAGACTCTTGTGAAACTTAGACTAGTAGATAGTCTAAACATCAAAAAAAAAAAAAAAAAAACCCCTTTTGTGTCTATATTCTATTGGAAAAAAATAAGTCAATGAACAATGAACAAAAAATGCAAAGTTAATGCTCAAATGAGGAGCTCAATCACCAAAGCTAAGAATGTCAATTTCACTTGCAATGAAGGCAAGTTTCATTCTTTGCAATGAAATGTTTGATGCCTTAAGTACAAAATTATTTATACCTTATAGTTAATTTTTATTTGTTTTTTTTCACTATTTTAAAATATTTAATTTATTTACTAAATATTAAAATTTAAAATTTGAAATGCTTACATCTAAACACCTCGAATTACGCATTTTCCTTTAAAAACTTTGTTTACATTCATGTTAATGAAACCTTTGCTTTTATAATGTATCATTTGTTTAGTTTGTTAATGAAATCTTTGTTTTTGTTTTCACTATTGTATGTATTGTACAACATTGGTTCTATCGAATCGGCATACTGAAAAGGCGCTTGCTTCTGAAAAAACAAACTCCAAGTTTCGAAGTCAGGACCACAAGCAAGATGTTTGAGTACTTTCCACTAAACCACAATGCTTCACTTTACCCCTGTGGTTTGGATCGAGTGCGGTTTACCCCCCTGACATTTGGAAATCACCACATAATCCCCATGTGGTTTGTGGACTAAAACGCACACTAACTTCTGTTAACAGAATGTATAAATTTTCCTTTATGCCCCTCTCATCTTCCTCTTCTCCCTTTTAAATTAAACCTAAAAATATACATACATATATATATATACACACCTATTTTCTTTCTTTCTTCTTTCTTTTGAATTGAACCTGCACATATATATAGATATATACACATATATTTTCTTTCTTCTACCAACTCTAACAAACGTCAACTTCAAAAAATTTTGATTGATGCAAAACACTAGGAAACCCAGCATTTTTCACATATTACATTATATACTATCATATTGAATTTGACTATGAATCTGACCAGAATTTGACCCAAATAAAATTTTCATTATTTTTAATAACCCAATTACAATCAGATTGAATTTATGTCTACAACCTACCATGGCTACAACGACGGCGGCTTTGCCTAAATAGCAACAGCCGAGGCTTTGACAATGAGATTTCGGGTCAGAATTGAAGAATTGTAGGTGGTGTGGGTCTTGGTGATGGACTTAAATGTGAAGCTTGTTCCAATATATGGGTTTGTGATAAGTGAGTGTCGTTTTGACTAGTTTTTTTGATTTTGAGTGTTGGATTTGAGATTGAGAGTTGACGACAACGACGACGATGAAGACCGAGTTCTACATGTGGGTAGAGATTGAAAACCCAGATTGACAGAGAAGGTAAGAGGTAGGGACGCCATCGCTGTGGTGGCATTGTTGTAGAGATAAAAAACTGTAGCTATATGTATATATCAATGTAAAACCTCTTAAAGACTAACTCCGATCTCCTTCTTTCTTCATTGTCACCATTTTCTTCCCAAACACTCCAATTTTCCCAAATTACAAGCTTCCAAACCTCATCTTCAACCCACCATAGAGAGAGAAACAGTAAAGAAAGAAGGAAGAAGAATGGTATATTTTGTAAATTTGAAGGTGAATGAGGGGTAATTTAGTCTTAAAAATCAACTTACTCTTTTCTAGGCGCGTGAGCCTCACATTCCGTTAATTTAGATGGAAAAGCTGACATTGCATTTTAATCCACAAATTACATGGAGAATATGTAGTGATTTTCAAATGTTAGGGTAAATCGCACCCGGCCCAAATCAAAGGGTAAAGTGAAGTTGCCCTTCAAATTAAGACACATCCCAAGTAGGAGGAGCTTCCCCAAAATCATAACCTGAACATGCCCAGAAATCATAACCATCCAAGAAGAAACAGAGAATTTGTCTCAAGCATTTGATCAAACAACTCTCGGGCTTCCCTCATTCGAGCTTAGCCTTCTCTTATTTTACCATATTCTGAGGAGTAGAGTTGCTCAAATTTTTACTTGTGGAAATGCCAAGAGTAAGAATATGATTTTAAGTTAATTTGAATTACTATTTTATTAGTGGATTATAATAGCGGATTTGCTAGACATTTTCACATATTAAGGATTGTTTATTATTTATGGATTTTGATATTATGATTATTAAAGTTTTCTTTTGAGTATTTTATCTTGGTGGTTTATTTGATTTGACTCTTAACCTTGCATGCTCACTTAGATGAATGTGCGGTGTTGTCACGGGACTTGGAGCATGATACATATAAATAGAAAAATGATGGGCTTGTTTGGTTTGTTTTTGGGAGAGTTGTTTTTGAAAAAAAATTTGGAGAGAGAGTTTAGAAATTTTTTTGGTTTGTTTGATTGTATATTTTGAAAGTAGTTTTGGAGTTTGGGAGTTTGAGATGATTTGATATTTTGCTATAATTGAGTAGATGTGTATGAGAGAAAAAGTGATTGAGAAGGAGAGAGGAGAGAGAAAAGATGATTGATTGATGTGTAAGAGAGATAAAGTAATTTTGGAAATTTTTTTGAGAAAAATCACAAACCAAACAAAATTTTGAATTTTTTTTCAAAGACAACTCTCCCAAAAACAAACCAAACAAGCTCGATATTATTATCCCTCTTTATACTGGAATGTATATTTATTCATATTTATTTTTGTATCTTTATACCATCTATATTAGTTTCGGTCACTTTAAGCTTATTAAAAATAAGATTAATGTAATTATACTAAAATTGCAAACTTGATGTATTTTTTTAAAACTTTAAGGGAAGTCAACATAATTTTTTCAAAATAAATAAATAATTGAACATGTTTAGTTAAATAAGCTTCATATACACCAAAGAGTGTAGCTGAGTTAGAAAGGCCTTGTTCGGCAAAGGTTAAAATTTGGTTTTTTAGGCTAAAATTCATAAAAAGACAAAATAAGTTAAAATAGTCAATAAAACAAAATTTCATATCAAATATATAATCATTTCACTTTTTCTCTCACAAACATCACATTCAATTACAAAAAAATTTAATCATCTTCCCAAACACAAAAATTTTAGCCTATTAAAATAGTTAAATACTAAAATAACGTACTAAAATAACCAACTTCCCAAACAAGGCCTAAGATGAGTGTAGTTGAGTTATTAAGACTTGGATTATAACCTCTGAATTTTTAATTTAGCTAGGTTTATAAATTAAAAATAAAAATGTAATATAACTTTTTTATTATATAAGATAAATTATAAACATACTTGCGAGATTTGCTTAAAATATAAATTACTTCTTGTAATTTAAAAAATTTAAAATATATCTTTATTAGCATTTTTAAGAATTAACTAAAAATATGAAATTGCACTCACAAACACTAATAAAATTATCAGAGCTATTAATTAAAATAAATTGTTAATATCATTAAAAACTATTAATTAACTTGATAAAATATTAAGAAAATATATTACGAAATTAAAAATTTCAAAGAACGTGATATAGACGATTCGTATTTCAAACATATTTGTAATTTATCCTATTATATAAATATCTATAATATTATCAATATTTTTATACACTAATAACGACATATTCAAGGGTTTAAGTTTTAAGAAGTTATAAATTAAAATTAAGACATCCGAAGAACAAACAGAGAATTTGTCTCAAGCATTTGATCAAACAGCCCTTGGGCTTCCCTCATTCGACAACAACGAATAACCAGTAACAACTGAAGCCCAAGTCCTCACATTCTTGCCTGCAAACGAGTCAAAGAGAGCTTGAGCCTCGTCTAATCGGCCATTTTGGGAGTACCCACAAATCATGGAGCTTCAATCCAAGCTGCAGTCTCTTTGAATCATATCAGCAAACAGCTTTCGATCTTCTTCATCGACTCGACCGAGCCTTCTAAGCTCTTCAATCCTCCTTGTGTTGCATTGAAAAAAGTTGGATTGTGGGGTCTCTTCGCTTCAATTGGTTGAGCAGGAGAGAGAGCAGCGAGAGAAACAAAAGTTATTGCCGCAATTAGGAATTGTTTGGATTATGGGGTCTCTTCTCTCTCTCTCTCTCTCTCTCTCCTATTTTTGTCCATTGAATTCATCTTTAAATTAGATATACATTCAGTCTCTCAACTGTTTCCCCAATTTTCCTGGGAAGCAAACACATCCCAGATTGAATTTTTCTGAAACCCTAATAAAATTTTTGATATGGAGAGTTGTTGCCCTTGTAAGAGTTGTAGAAAGAGGTCTATCGTCTCCGATGACGCAACGTGCAGCTTGGTTTGCTCGTCGTGCGGAGTCATCCATGAATTTGATGATTTTGGCGCCCTCAGTGGCCCCACTGAGACGTTTATCTACACCGGCACTGCCGGTACCGGTAATGTCTATGGTTACATGGAAACAAAAATATACAGAGCCAAAGAGACCCTTGAACGCATTACTTCATTGTTGAATTTTTGGCCTTCCAAGACGAATGAGGTTAGGGTTATGGTGGAGACTATTACTACGGGAGAGTATGGTCAGGGTGATTGGTTACCTGTACTTATTGGTGCTTGTGCTTATGTTGTTATGCCAAAGGATAATAAACCTTTGCCGCTTTCTGAGGTGGCTGATAAGGTCGGTTGTGATATTTTTGAGCTTGGTCGGATGGTTAATTAGGTTGTTGATTTTCTTGATTTGAAATTGCCAGAGTTTAATAGAATGAATTCATTTGAATGGGTGGTCAAGACTTGTTTTGATGAAAATTTAATGGAAAAGGAAAAGATTGAGAGAATTTTAAAACAAGGGATTTTTTTAATGCAGTGTTTGGTGAAGTGGTATTTGACGACGGGGCGGAGACCGATTCTGATTGTTGCGGCCGTATTGGTATTTGTTGCATAATTGAATGAGGTTGATGTTCAGCTAGAGGACATGGCAAAAGAATTACATGTGGCTGTTGGTACATGCGAGTTGCGGTATAAGGAGCTTTTAAATAATCTTGTGAAAGTTGCACAAGCATTGCCTTGGGGCAAGGATATTACGGTTAAGAACATCATAAAGAATGCACAATTCGTGATTTAATATATAGAGTTGAAGTCAATGCCTAAGCACGGTGAGAAGAGGAAGAGTTTAGAGCATGTTGGATTTGATTTGGATGGTTTGGTTCGTGATTGTTTGAGCAAAGAAGTTGAATTCGGGATGGATAGTTATGGCATGGAAAATGATTCTCAGTATTTTGAGGTAGAAGATCTGACTGGTTCCCCAAAATGGAGTATAGATGATTTGGAGAAGCTCAAGATTTCACATGAATGCTTGTCACTGTTATATTCAGAGTTTTCAAATGAAGTTTCTAATGCCAATTCAGTGGGAGAGAGTGAGAGTGACAATAGAAGGAAAAGAGGGATGGGGTTTGACCTTTTAGAGTGTAGGGAGTGGTGGAAAGGAAAATCAGAGCTGAGCAAAAAGCTTTTCCTCAAGCAAATACTGGAGAAAGATGTAGGACTGAATGCTTTGCCTTCCTCTTTCGTCTCGGGATGGTTGGAATATTAAAGGAGGAGAGAAAAGATAAAGGCTGCTAAGGCGCGTATCGATAAGATTATGTGTTCGCCAAATGCCAAATCAGGTAACAGGGATGATGACCTTTGCATTTTGGAATGCTTAAATGGTGGGAATAAACGAAGGAGAAAGTAAATGGCCATTGATGTTGACTGGGAATATTTTATTATTGAGACTCTTCTCCTTCATCGAGTGGAGGAGGAGTAAATAGAGAAGGGGCACTAGAATACCTTACTGGACTTGCATGTCTTTAACTCTTGTGTAATTAGCTTCATCATGGTTGGAATTGTGCCTTGAATCTACTCAACTGCATTGGTCACTGCACTATTAGAGAGAGATTTTGTATTTTTTACTCCTCTAGCAAGAGGGAATCTATTTTTGTTACTTATTTCTGCAAAATTAATACAAGGTATCAGATTTTTTTGTTATAGAATTTTGGTTTCCACATATTTATGTGACATATGAGCTTGTTCCTTGAATTTATCCAGTTTCACAATGTGAAGAGCTTGAAAACTCCATGCTTTTTCTTTTTCATCAAGGAGTGTGCGGCAGGGATCCATTGAGATTGATTTAAATTGGACATGTATGGGGTTTGCTGCTGATAGATCTACCCATTCTTTTTGCTTGAAGTGTTATATATTCTGTACGGATATCTCTTGTTTGTAGTATTCTGTTTTTAGTTAACTTTTCTTTCTCTCATTGTATTTATTTATTTGCCATTTTTTTTTTTTTTTTTTTTGGTGCAATGGAAAAAATTAAAGCAACAGCTAACTAGGAAATCTCCAGTCAGGAGCATCTAGAGCCAATAACGGCCTAATTTGAGCAGGCGGTTCCATAAAAATCTGAAGCTCCATGGAGGGGGGGCTTGGAGATAATGGGGCTAAGTGGATTGGTGCGTCCTTTTTTCATTTAAAAAGTAGAAAATAGAATGCCTCATTAGACTAGTGCTAATGTAGTGAAATGGGGAAAGGAAGGAAAAATTAAATACTTTACTCTCAATTTTTTTGGGTGACACTTTACAAAATCATACAATTTCAGATTATCTTCATAAATCTGTTTGAAGCTCAAATTTCAATCTAATCTTGATGGCACCTCGTAGTTAATAATTTGACACACGATAACTTAACTTTGAGAACTGTAACTATCAGTCATTAAGCAGCTAAGGGGTTGAAAACATAGAGGCAACAGTTATTGGCTCTTTTGTTGATATTTGTCATTGTAGGGTCGAGCAACTTGCTATAAATTTGAAAGCTATTCTTCCTGACTGAATAACAGGGAGATCATATTTGGCCGAGTAAAAACATTTCAATCTTTGAAGCTGCTGACTTTCATTGTGCTTGTGGTTGGATGAGAGAGAGAGAAAGAGAGAGAGAGAGAGATTGGCATTTGTCAAGAGTTGCATAAGGTTTTTGTGATGTATTAAGATGAAGCTGCTTCTTATTTTATTTTTGTAGAAAAAAAAAAAAAAAACCTGTAAAGGGGCTTTCAATGATGTTTGGAGGAGTTCAAAAATAAGATAGATGTAATTGCAAAATTGCCACAAAGTTTGGAGGAGATCAAAATTAAGGCTGTGCAAAATATCGCCCAATCTGCTAAAACCGCACCTATCCGCATCTATCCACACCACTCTAACCGCTAACCGCGGTTTAAACTTTAAAATTTATAATCCGCCAACCGAACCGCTCCGCTCCACTATAGTTGATACGTGTATATTTTTTAACTTCCAGTGAAATATCAATGTAAAAATGAGTGTGGAGATATTTAAGATATGAAAAGTGGTTATATATATGAAACATATTATTTAAAATTATATTGTGTTATATATCTAAAAAATATTATACAAATTAGTATTATATATTATGCAGATGTATGATAATTAGTTAGAATATTCTTCAATCTGCCAATCCGCCAAAAACCGCCCAAACCGCAAATTGTCAATCTGCTAATCCGCCAACCCGCCATTCGGTTTGTAATTTTACTCTCAAATCGCCCGAACCGCACTGTGCACACCCCTAATCAAAATTAAGATTGTACTAATTTCAAAATTGCAACACAAAAATGATTGGATTTATTTCTTTTTGGTTAGTTATTTCTGACTACCACTTTTTCTTGTCAATTTTTTTTTTTGGGTTGTGTCGAAAATATATTTAAGCTCCACAATCTGTGCGACTGCCTATTATGTGGACTTCATCTTTCTCTTTACTATTAGATAGTTTTATTAACACCTAGGTTTTAATCAATGATGGCTTAATAAGTGGGATGATAATTACAAATTGATGTTAATGTCTACCTTTGAAAATGTCTGCCCAAGCATTCAGCAGTATTGGGTGTTGTGATTCGAACTAAAAAGATAGAATGTTTACACAGGCAGTTGCAGACAGATTAAGAGGTGATTTCATCATGTTTGGGTGCTTTTATTAAATTCAATTGCTGCTTTATGTACACATGCTTCTTCATTGCAGATTGTTTTGTTTAGTACTTTGTGTCGTTAGATGAGACTGTGCAACCACTGAAAAAAGGAGACAAGAGGTGCACCTGGCAGTAACAAATACCTCCAACAATATCAATCTGCATAAAATTTGGTTGGAGTATACGAAAGAAATATAACTGGAACAAGGTATGGACAATATAGACCCCATATAACTTTCAATTTATTCTATTGTCTTCTTCCTTGAACAGATGGAACCACTCCTTTGTGAATTATTGCATTTCACTCCCTTGCTAATATCATGGATCCTCATCCATCAATCTGCACAAAATTTGGTTGGAGCATACGAAAGAAATATAACTGGAACAAGGTATGGACAATATAGACCCCATATAACTTTCAATTTATTCTATTGTCTTCTTCCTTGAACAGATGGAACCACTCCTTTGTGAATTATTGCATATCACTCCCTTGCTGATATCATGGACCCTCATCCATCAGAGAACTTTTCCATATGCCAAAATTCTATCTTGATTTGATGATCTGGAAAAATAGGCCTACCTTCAATTGATTGAAAAGTTCTCGAGGAATTTCACACCTCAATGCTGATTGCAGAGCTTTGCCTTGTAGAAGATTACATCAAAATAGACAAAACAATTGGCATGATAAAATTCCATAGCTTCAAGACTCTAGAGTTATTTTTGGAAATTTCATGCTCCCTTGAGGCAACCCCTAGGGGGCTTCGAGCTATTAATTATTTGATATTCCATTAATGTTTCAGGTTGTTTTTTGGGCAAACAGAAACATTTTGGCCATTTCAATGGAAACAAAATTAGATTTTGTTCCTTGCTTCTAAAAATGGTCCTTATATTGAAGTTTTATTCTGCAACCATGAGGTATCTGTCCAAACTTTGATAGACTCTTTAAGTAAATCATTTTGTAGAATCTTGTTTATGGGTACTCTTAATCTGGACATTTATCTAATCCATAAAGTTATGACTGATTCTTTTCATATGAATCCAACCATGTTTGTGTTAAAACTTGTTGAAAATTAACATTCTTGTGTGACTCTTTCAAGCTTGACCCAATTTTTGCTTCACATGTGGGCCATATTTTAGATTCCAAGCATTATTTTGGAATATTGGTCTGAATAGTTAGAAAAAAAAGTAGACAAATTTTTTTTAAATCAATCCTGATTTTCATACATCGTCAAATTTTCTATTTTTTCTACCCTTAAATTGATTTTAGTATTTATAAGAATGTAGAACATTTTTACTATGAAGAGGTTCATCACATAAGTTATGTTATAGGCTAAGAAGCATGGACACGGACACATGACACGACGCAGACACGTTAACACGCTAATTTTTAAAAAATACAGGACATGACACGTAGGGGACACGCATGAAATACATAATTTTATATATTTATTAAATGTTATATATATGAATATATCATTCAAAGATACTAAAAAATGCAATGTGACACTAATCTCTATAAATTTATATGGTTTTTGTTTTATTATTGTATCTTAAGTTGTTTTGTTCAAATTTATAATTAGTTTCACATGTGTCTAATTGATAGATACATGTGTATAAGAGAAACACACGTGTGTCTTCCAAGTGTCTAAAGAGTGTCCGGGTCTTTAAAAATAGGAGAGCGTCGGACACATGTCGGAGAAGTGTCCAAAGAGTGTTGGTGTCCGACATGGACACGACACGGATACGTTACCTTTTTAGAAGTGTTCATGCTTCTTAGGTTACAAGGGTTTAAGAATGTTGCCGAAGTGTTTGTAAAGTGTTCGATATTGTGAATTTAAAATTTTAATTAAGACATGTTGAAGAAATGTTGGACATGCTTTTAGGAGAGTCCATAGAATGTCGATGTCCAACAAGACACGACTTCTTCATAGAAGTGGCCGTTGTTCTTAGTCTACATGTCTATGTGTCACTTTGTATTGGCTACTAGAGCTGCTATGTCACATTAATATCAGCTGCTCACTTCATCGGCCAAATTCGAGGCTATCGGCCAATTATTGATAGCCGATCGGCACACTTGATAGCCGATCGGCCACTTCTTCCTACCAACTTCTCCTTTTGCTGCAACAGAGCACTAACAGAGGCATGGCAGTGTATTTGCAAGAAAATGTGTGTGTAACCACATTCCTTATCATGTTTAAAGCTCAAAGGAGTGTAATGCTCGACTCTCGAGCCATCAATCACCCATTTTAATGCATGATGGCCAAAGAGGCCGAGTTGCACAAATCAATATCACATGAATGCACAAAAGGCACAAAAATGCCTTAACCTCTATCATGCTTGATCAAGAGGGTCCGCGACCGAGAAATGAGGCACGTTTCATCACTTCAAGTATGAAACGTCCCTCGTTCCTCGTGTTTGGACTAACACCCTATCCAAACACAATGCAATGCAAGGCATGCACACACAATGCAATGCAACAAGCATGCGACAACATGCAATGCAACAAGCATGCAACAAAAATACAACGGAACAAGCATGCAACAACATGCTATCTAATCAACATGCTAAACATCATGAACATGCGACAACATGCAAATAACAATGTCATGCAACAATATGCAAACAAACATGCAATGGTAAGGACCATGTAATGCCATATTCAATGGACCAAACCACATATGGACAGACTTAAGAGGGTCCAAAACAGTGGCCGACATACCAAAATTTAGGCACAAAAGGGGGCCAAGGACACATGCTCATGTAATGGCTCCTTAACTAGGCATAAGAACACAACCCTCAAACATGATGAAGAAGTGACAAATATGAGAGTGTGGCAATGAAGTAAACTCTGAAATTACATTCCAAAATAGGCTAAATCATGCACAAACAACAAATGAAGCATGCTAGTGGGCTCAAAGCTTAGAGCTAGCCAAAGGACTTACACCATAGCTATGCAATACATGAAACATATAGCCAAGGGCTAACATGAAGGGCATGAAACATGAACTTACACGGCTAATAAGGAGTATTACACTACACCTATCAAAACCAAGCATGAGGTGACTTCAACAACAAAAATCAGAGTTATATTATGGAAAAATGAGACCAAATACACACTGATATGGCAACTTACAAGCTTAGGCAAAATGGCATACGCAATGGCTCATTCTTAAGGCATAAAGAACCAACTCCTCAAAGACAAATGTGAGGGCATGGAAATGACACATGCTCTAAAATCACATAACAAATGATGCCAAATCATGTGAATAGCCCAAGCAATGCATGCTAGTGGCTTGGAAACTCAAGGCTAATGAGCTAGAATGAACCATGGCTATACAAAGCAATGCATGTATGACCAAAACAACACAAATTAGACCTTAAGCATGGTAAAACATGGCCAAAAGCTTCTTGAAGTTGAGCCAAAAGCATGCTAGAATAATGGCCAAAAGCATAATACATGTTAGGCTAGTGATTGGATTTGCACTATAAGTGTAAGGAGCATGCGTGATATGATCAAACCAAGCCAAAACAGTGTTATATCATGGAAAAACAAGGCCTAAGACATGCTGAAATGGAGCCACAAAGAGGTATAAAAAAACATGCCAACTTGGTGAGCCATCAATACAAGCACACAAGACACAAGGAGAGGGGATGACCCTCTCCTATTTAAGACCTCAAAACACACTTTCCACCACTTAAATTCCTCTGGAATTCAGTGGTAGAAAGGTCATGCAAAGACAAAAACAAGAGCCTAAAGTGATGGCTCAAAACAAGGCCAAACAAGGCACTCAAGGGGGTAGATCACCCCCAACACCAACAAGACCTTAAACAATCATTTCAAACACATGAAAATGAAGCTTTTTATAGTTGAGAGTAAAGCCAAAATAAGCATGCAAATAAGGCTAAGTAAGCAATGAACACAAAGCTTACAAGAAGGTTAGTGACTCACCCTTGTAGAACAACTTCAAAGAGGTAACTTCAGCAACTTTTGGGGCTAAAAACCAAACTTTGACTTCAAACAAAAACCTCAAGTACCTCAGCAACAAGAGTATGGTGTTTGAGTAGGTGCTTTAGTGCAAAAGTGTGAAGAAATTACACTTTTGAGCACAAACAAGTGCAAATATAGAGAGAGAGTGATATATATCTTCTATATCAAGATTTTAGAACCTCTAGAAAGGGAGAGGGGTCTCCCTTTTTTATAGAAAATCAAATCTCAAGCTTGTTGAGCAAGCTTGAGACTTCTTTCAATCCCTCCATACACGTCTATGGAGGATGAAATCTGTGCTCACCATCTGTCACAGCTGGCACAAAAATATCTACAAAAGCAGGTAAAAAGGTCTTGGCCAAAAGATATGGCCGATAGACCAAAAAGGGTACCGATCGGCCAAAAAGAGTGCTGATCGGCCACCACTTATGGCCGATGACAAGAAAACACCAATCACCCATCTTAATGCATGATGGCCAAAGATGCCGAGTTACACAAGTCAATGTCAAATGAATGCACAAAAACACATAAATGCCTTAACCTCTATCATGCATGATCAAGAGGGTCAGTGACCGAGAAATGAGACACGTTTCATCACTTCAAGTATGAAACGTCCTTCGTTTCCCGTGTTTGGACTAACACCCTGTCCAAACACAATGCAACACAAGTATGCCAAATACAATACAATGCTTGCAAGCAAACAACAATGCAAACAACAAGCATGCAAACAACATGCAATGCAACATGAGCAATTTATCAAAGCTAATGGCATGCAAACTCTATTGAATGCAACCTAAGTATGCAAGCAACAATGCAAACAAGAAGCATGCAAACAACATGTAATGCAAACAACATGCAAGATGGACTTAAACCGGATATGGATAGACCTCAATCATGTCCAAAACAGTGGCCAATAATGCTGAAATGATGGCATGAAAACACATGAAAAGGCTAGACAAGCATACATGCCAATTGGCTCAAGAATTAAGGCATAAAGATGCAACTCTTAAGAGCAATCAAAGAGTGAAAAGCATGGACGTGTGACAACACTATAAGCTCTAAAATCATGTAAGGAATGATGCCAAATCACTCAAACAATACAAGTATGGCATGCAAGAGGGCTCAAAGCTTGAAGCTAGCATAGACACTTGCACTATAACTATACAAAACACGAAGCATATGGCCAAGACAACCCAAAACAGTCCTAGAACATGCCAAAATGATGCTAAAACATGCATGGATCAAAGCTAAAACATGCTAGCATGAAGAGCATAAAGCATGGAGTATGTAATGCCAAAATGGAGGATTACACTACACCTACCAAGACCAAGCATGAGATGGCTTCACCAACAAAAATCAGAGTTATATCATGGTAAAATAACCCCAAAAACACACTGAAATGATAGCTTGCAAACTTAGGCATGAAGGCATACACAATGTCTCATGTTTAAGGCATAAAGCACAAACTTTCCAAAGCATTGAAAGAGTGACAGATGCGAGTGTATGACCACACTATGTGCACTGAAATCACATATGAAATGATGCCAAATCATGAAAATAGCCTAAGCAATGCATGCTAGTGGCTTGGAAACTCAAGGCTAATGAGCTAGAATGAACCATGGCTATACAAAGCAATGCATGTATGACCAAAACAACACAAATTAGACCTTAAGCATGGTAAAACATGGCCAAAAGCTTCTTGAAGTTGAGCCAAAAGCATGCTAGAATAATGGCCAAAAGCATAATACATGTTAGGCTAGTGATTGGATTTGCACTACAAGTGTAAGGAGCATGCGTGATATGATCAAACCAAGCCAAAATAGTGTTATATCATGGAAAAACAAGGCCTAAGACATACTGAAATGGAGCCACAAAGAGGTATAAAAAAACATGCCAACTTGGTGAGCCATCAACACAAGCACACAAGACACAAGGAGAGGGGATCCTCTCCTATTTAAGACCTCAAAAACACACTTTCCACCACTTAAATTCCTCTGGAATTCAGTGGTAGAAAGGTCATGCAAAGACAAAAACAAGAGCCTAAAGTGATGGCTCAAAACAAGGCCAAACAAGGCATTCAAGGGGGTAGATCACCCCCAACACCAACAAGACCTTAAACAATCATTTCAAACACATGAAAATGAAGCTTTTTATAATTGAGAGGAAAGCCAAAATAAACATGCAAATAAGGCCAAGTAAGCAATGAACACAAAGCTTACAAGAAGGTTAGTGACTCACCCTTGTAGAACAACTTCAAAGAGGTAACTTCAGCAACTTTCGGGGCTAAAAACCAAACTTTGAGTTCAAACAAAAACCTCAAGTACCTTAGCAACAAGAGTATGGTGTTTGAGTAGGTGCTTTAGTGCAAAAGTGTGAAGAAATTACACTTTTGAGCACAAACAAGTGCAAATATAGAGAGAGAGAGGAAATATAGAGAGAGAGTGATATATATCTTCTATATCAAGATTTTAGAACCTCTAGAAAGGGAGATGGGTCTCCCTTTTTATAGAAAATCAAATCTCAAGCTTGTTGAGCAAGCTTGAGACTTCTTTCAATCCCTCCATACACGTGTATGGAGATGAAATCTGTGCTCACCAGTTGTCACAGCTGGTACAAAAATATCTACAAAAGCAGGTAAAAAGGTCTCGGCCAAAAGATATGGCCGATCGACCAAAAAGGGTGCCGATCGGCCAAAAAGAGTGCCGATCTGCCAAAAAGAGTGTCGATCGGCCACCACTTATGGCCGATGACAAGAAAATAAGGGCGACAAGCACAAGGCTTGGCCGATGGGTTGTAGGGATGGCCAACAAGCCACCCTCTTCCCTCAGAAGCAAAACCATAAGTCCTTAGTCCACAACCAAACACAAAACAGACAAGTTGAGAGATCCTAAGGCAAGGTGCATAACTGAGACCTTCGGGAACTCAAAATGAACACGAGCATGGATGATCATTGTGTGTTCCAACGATGACGTCTAAGTCTTGAGGATGGTCAAAAATAGGGTGTCTACAGTTTCCCCTCTTTGACAGAACTCGAAAGTCATAAGATGACGAGACTGAATGTCAAAGCCCAGAGATGACCCATTTTTGACGAGGCTGAAGGCTTAGACAAGTATACAAGATAAGAAAGAGATGCGCCCGCAGGCAGGGGCAAGATGCAAATGACATGCACAACGCCGAGCATAACTTATGATCATGCAGAGAAAGCTGTGATGAAGCATTTATGCAAAATAAATACAACAGTTAAGCAAGTGAGTAAGAAAGAATAGTCCCACACATTCCAACATAAAGGGTGTAAGAAAATTATGCAATTCTCATTGCGTCTCACACGAAGAAGGCTAAAAGCGACTACCGAGGACACGTGGAGTCTCAAATGAAACACCTCTTAGCGTATCAAACGCAAAAGGAGAAAATCATCCAAATGTGGCACACGCGAGAGGGGAAAGTGAATAACTGAACACCGGAACGCATCTGAGTGTTTGAAACCGAAGATGTCCTAATGCACCACATACGAGAGGAGAAGGGTTGCACAAGAAAGTGCGATGCACTAGATAGTGCGAGTACGTCCAAACGCGGCACACGTAAGTGGAGAAGGGTACGTCCGAACGCGACACACACGAGTGGAGAAAGATTGCGCAAGAAAGTGCGATGCACTAAACAGTGCGAATACGTCCAAACGCGGCACATGCGAGTGGAGAAGGGTACGTCCAAATGCGACACACGTGAGTGGAGAAAGGTTGTGCAAGAAAGCGCGATGCACGAAACAGTGCGAATACGTCCAAACGCAGCACACGCGAGTGGAGAAGGGTACGTCCAAATGCGACACACGCGAGCGGAGAAAGGTTGCGCAAGAAAGCGCGATGCACTAAACAGTGCGAATATGTCCAAACGTGGCACACGCGAGTGGAGAATGGTAAGTCCAAACGCGACAAACGCGAGTGGAGAAAGGTTACATAAGAAAGCGCGATGCACTAAATAGTGCGAATACGTCCAAACGCGGAACGCCCGAGTGGAGAAGGGTACGTCCAAACGCGACACATGCGAGTGGAGAAAGGTTGCGCAAGAAAGCATGATGCACTAAACAGTGTGAATATGTCCAAACGCGGCACACGCGAGTGGAGAAGGGTACGTCAAAACGCGACACACGCAAGTGGAGAAAGGTAGCAGTCAAACTAAACCGGAACTTCTCTTGAATGAACCGTACACACAATATCGTCTGGTTTCACCAACTTCAAACAAACCGTATATACAATATCGTACCTGCACAAAAGAGAGATTTTGACAAGTACAATATACCAGGAACATATGATCAACGCTATATCAAAATATAATATCAACATAAGATAAATGTGTGCACATATGATGCTGATGGAAATATGCATATAACAATGCAAGTGAAAAGTGCATAACAATGCAAGTGAAAAGTGCATAGCAATGCAAGTCATTTAGACATGCTGAATGATGACAATATTTTTTATTATCTAATCTACCTTCAAATTGATTTGCGTACCTTTGCAAATCTTAGTCTGCCTTTTTTCCTAGGGTAGGAAATTGTGCAACCATGCTTTGTTGTGGTTGTGTTTTCTGTTCTTTATTCTCCTTGCACCAGGTTGAATAGCTACTTTGTTATGAGGTTTACTATATCTCATATCATTTATCCTCCTGATGCTGCTAATATTTCTCAAATCAAAATTGTTTCTGTATTTTGACATTACAGACAGTGGGCGTCAATATTGAAAACCAACTGCGGACAATGGGTGCCGATATGAAACAACTCTGTCAAAATTCATGCATGATGTGATGCCTTCATTTTCACTAGATTTCATGGAAGGGGTAGCTCCTGAATTATCTCCTCAACAAAATTAAAATGTTAATCTCACAACTCATGAAAGCTCAATGATTGGTGTTGACATTGACCCTAAGAAGGGACTTTGCAACAAAAACTCTTTGGCCCATCAATATTGTATAGAACCCATGGAAGAGAAACATAATGATTTATTGTCGAAGAAAAAGGATGATATTGGTACGAGTGAAAAGTGAAATGTGAGTGTAGTGAAAAATGACACAGCGAAGAAACCGTTCCCAATCGAGATTCTAGTAGTAGTTGATACTGCAGAGAAAGATTCAAGCTTGGCATCATTATTTTGCTGAGTCAAACAATCTGATGATGAAAGATGGGATGATCAAGAGGATTTGTCAACACCAGTATCACTAGATGGATATCACTCTTGTGTGAAGGAAGCAGAAACGACTAACCATGTAAATGCCACAGCTGACAAGTCAAATGTCCTGCCATCAGCTAATTCAGTTATTTTAGTTGAGTCCTGCCAATGTAGAGTTTCATATACTGTACTTACTTCAGGGGATGCTTTCTCAGCAATATCAAATGGTAAGGTTCTGTTATCCTATTTGTTCTATGTGCTTCTTTCTTTACTTTTATTTACTTCTATTAATTTCTACTCTGACTGGTGCAGCTACCTTTGTGACTATATCTGGGACAGATTTTGTTGGCTTGGGATAGAGCTATCCAATAAAGTTTTTGAATCAGAAGATTATGTTTCCATTAGAATCTGGTAACTTGTTATTTCTGTTTTTTCTCATGTATTTTGATTTTTGTTTTTTGAAGTATTGGAGCCCAAGATAATTGTGCCGAGAGGGGGGCCTATGAATAGGCCAATTTCAAGAATTATCTCAAGCTTTGTGACTATATCTGTGACAGATTCTGTTGGCTTGGGATAGAGCTATCCAATAAAGTTTTTGAATCAGAAGATTATGTTTCCATTAGAATCTGGTAACTTGTTATTTCTGTTTTTTCTCATGTATTTTGATTTTTGTTTTTTGAAATATTGGAGCCCAAGATAATTGTGCCGAGAGGGGGGGCTATGAATAGGCCAATTTCAAGAATTATCTCAAGATTACCCAATTAATTTTGATGATTCAAATAAAATTGTGATCACATTGGAAAATCCAAATAACTTCGAGATGGTAGACACATCAATTAACTTGGAGACCCTCCAGGAAAACTCTCCAAGAGGGGAAAGCCATGGTCCCAATACTCAGCAAAATCTACTACAGGACACACAGGAAGGATTATAACCAAACCTTGGTTAACCCTATCTCTGAAGTCTTGACATGCTCCACAAGCACAACCTTGCCCAGTTCGCCTCGTTTGACTTGATTGAATAGCACAAAGCTTCATTCCTCGACCTTCATACACCGACAACTTTGTTAACCCAACGACCAGGAGTGAGAGGACAATGCAATGCAGGATTTTTTAAGGTTTTTGTTTTTGATCACTCACTCATTGTAGTGATGAGTTTGTAGAAGTTGACAGAAGTTTGGAATTAAGTTTAGGTGAGGGGACTATGAAGCCTCATTACAAGCGACCATTTTCAGAGTAGCATTACATGGGGCCCAATTATGGTTACAAAATTAGTGGTTTTAGGTATTATACCTAAACAAAATTAGTTAGCTTAGACCTGGTAATTATTCAATATTCCACTAGCGTTTCGTGTTGTTGATTCAAGAAATAGAAACATTTTGGCCATTTCAATGGAAACAAAATGAGATTTTGTTCCTTGCTCCTAAAATGGTTCTTATGTTGATGTTTGATCCTACAATCAGGAGGTATTTGTCCAAACTTTGATAGACCCATTTATGCAAATCATTTTGTTGTTTTGCTGCTCATTTTCAATTGTTTGTTTAATTAACCCAAAGCCGCTTGGGTGCTTGCTTGCTGATTTTATTCTTCGGGTAATATATATTGTAAACTTCTTTTAGGTTCTATGAAGCTTCATTTTTTTCTCACGTCAGAAGATTTCATTATGGAAAACTTGACCTTCTTTTATTATTGAATGATTAATTGTTGAGCATTTGATTGGATTGAGATATATTTTTCACTTGATCAATTTAACTTGGGTTGTGGATTTAGTGCCCCCTTTTTTTTTTACCCCCCCTCAAAAGTAACTTCTCTTGCATTACAAAAATCGTTCCTTCCAATCAAATAAAGCTGTAGATAATTGATAGTACCAACAAAAAAAGAAAAGAGAAACTAGTACTCAAAATCAATGAGGGAATAGATTGCTAAAAAAAAAAAAAAATACATAGCAAGCTACTTAATTAAGAAACATGTATAAGACATGTAGAGACCAAAAGCATGCCAATATGAATATAGGAGATTAAATGAAAAGAACCTAAACCTGCATTAGCTAGGTAGCAAGGTGAGAAGCATGCCAGCTAGATTCGTTAAAAGCATAAACTTATCTAAAACTAATAGTTCTTTGTAAAAGCATTAATCAAACATACGCAAAGTTTATAACCAAGACTAAATTTACACAAACATATGCTTCACTAATGTTTCAAATAATGCTACCTAGAATTTTAATGAAACCATAAATTCAGATAAAGGAAATGAAGAAACTGAAAAGAATGAGAGAGCTCAAAGAAAATATTTTAGGTTTTTCTTTACATTCAAAGTTTTCAAAGACTTTACTAAGGCTCACCTCGATGCTCACCTTGCTTCAAGGCTAAGGTAAAACGTATCAAGGTTTTGATTTTTAGTCTACTCTCCCTAAAGGCTTGCGCCTAACAATCTGAGGCGTGCACCTTAGGTGCGCCTTGTATGCCTTTTGCACATAAGCCTATGACGAGTATGCATATAAAGAGGTTGCCTTAGACTCTTGTTAAACTTAGTCTGGTAGATAGTCTAAACATCAAAAAAAAAAAAACCCTTTTGTGTCTATGTTCTAGAGAAAAAAATTAAGTAAATGAACAATGAACAAAAAATACAAAGTTAATGCTCAAGTGAGAAGCTCAATCACCAAAGCTAGGAAACCCAACATTTTTCACATATTACATTATATACTATCATATTGAATTTGACCCAAATAAATTTTTCATTATTTTTAATAACCCAATTACAATCAGATTGAATTTAGGTCTACTTCCTACCATGGCTGCAGCGGTGGCAGCTTTGCCTAAACAGCAACAACCGAGGCTTTGACAGTGAGATTTCGGATCAGAACTGAAGAATTGAAGGTGGTGTGGGTCTTGGTGATGGACTTAAATGTGAAGCTTGTTCCAATATATGGGTTTGTGATCAGTGAGTGTTGTTTTGACTAGTTTCTTTGATTTTGAGTATTGAATTTGAGATTGAGAGTTGGTGATGATGACAACGATGACGACAACGACAATAACGACGATGATGACGACTATGAAGACCGAGTTCTACATGTGGGTAGAGATCGAAAACCCAGATTGACAAAGGAGGTAAGAGGTAGGGGCAGCGATGATGACCTTTGCATTTTGGAATGCTTAAATGGTGGGAATAAACGAAGGAGAAAGAAAATGGCCATTGATGTTGATTGGGAAGATTTTATTATTAAGACCCTTCTTCCATCGGGTGGAGGAGGAGGAAATAGAAAAGGGGCACCACAATACCTTACTGGACTTGCATGTCTTTAACTCTTGAAGTGTGTAATTAGCTTCATCATCGTTGGAATTGTGCCTTGAATCTACTCGACTGCATAGGTCACTGCATTATTAGATAGAAGTTTTGTATTTTTTACTCCTCCAGCAGGAGGGAATCTATTTTTGTTACCTATTTCTGCAAAATTAATACGAGGTATCAAATTTTTTTGTTATAGAATTTTGCTTTCCACATATTTATGTGACATATGAGCTTGTTCCTTGAATTTATCCAGTTTCACAATGTGAAGATCTTGAAAACTCCATGCTTTTTCTTTTTCATCAAGGAGTGTGCGGCAAGGATCCATTGAGATTGATTCAAATTGGACATGTATAGGGTTCGCTGCTGATAGATCTACCCATTCTTTTTGCTTGAAGTATTATATATTCTGTACAGATATCTCTTGTTTGTAGTACTCTATTTTTAGTTAACTTTTCTTTCTCTCCTTGTATTTATTTATTTGCCTTTTTTTTTAAAAATATCAAATGCTAAGTGATACTCTGGGAAATTTTTTCAACAGTAATTTGATTCAAGTGATCACTTTGGCCCAAAGAAAAATTGCCAGTGAAAAAGTGCTTGTTTGCTTGGGGGGGTGCTTGGAGATAATGGGGCTAAGTGGATTGGTGCGTCCCTTTTTCATTTAAAAAGTACAAAATAGAATGCCTCATTAGACTGGTGCTAATGCAGTGAAATAGGGAAATGAAGGAAAAATTAAATACTTTACTCTGAATTTTTTTGGGTGACACTTTTACAAAATCATACCATTTCAGATTATCTTCATAAATCTGTTTGAAGCTCAAATTTCAATCTAATCTTGATGGCACCTCGTAGTTAATAATTTGACACACAATAACTTAACTTTGAGAACTGTAACTATCAGTCATTAAGCAGCTAAGGCCATGTTGAAAACATAGAGGCAACAATTATTGGCCCTTTTGTTGATATTTGTCATTGTAGGGTCGAGCAGCCTTCTATAAATTTGAAAGCTATTCTTCCTGACTGAATAACAGGGAGATCATATCTGGTCCAGTAAAAACATTTCAATCTTTGAAGCTGCTGACTTTCATTGTGCTTGTGGTTGGATGAGAGAGAGAGAGAGAGAAAGAGAGAGAGAGAGAGAAGATTGCCATTTGTCAAGAGTTGCATAAGGTTTTTTTTAATGTATTAAGATGAAGCTGCTGCTCATTTTATTTTTGTAGGCTTTCAATGATGTTTGGAGGAGTTCAAAAATAAGATTATTGTAATTGCGAAATTGCCACAAAGTTTGAAGGAGATCAAAATTAAGATTGTACTAATTTCAAAATTGCAACACAAAAATGATTGGATTCTTTTTGGTTAGTTATTTCTGACTACCACTTTTTCTTGTCAATTTTTTTTTTTGGTTGTATCGAAAATATATTTAAGCTCCACAATCTGTGCGACTGCCTATTATGCGGACTTCATCTTTTTCTTTACTATTAGATAGTTTTATTAACACTTGGGTTTTAATCAATGATGGCTTAATAAGCGGGATGATATATTTACAAATTGATGTTAATGTCTACCTCTGAAAATGTCTGCCCAAGCATTCAGCAGTATTGGGTGTTGTGATTCGAACTAAAAAGACAGAATGTTTACACTGGCAGTTGCAGACAGATTAAGAGGTGATTTCATCATGTTTGGGTTCTTTTATTAAATTCAATTACTGCTTTATGTACACATGCTTCTTCATTGCAGATTGTTTTGTTTAGTACTTTGTGTCGTCAGACGAGACTGTGCAACCACCAAAAAAAGGAGACAAGAGGTGCACTTGGCAGCAACAAATACCTCCATTAATATCAATCTGCACAAAATTTGGTTGGAGTATATGGAAAAAATATAACAGGAACAAGGCGTGGACAATATAGACCCCATATAACTTTCAATTTATTCTATTGTCTTCCTTGAACAGATGGAACCACTCCTTTGTGAATTATTGCATTTCACTCCCTTGCTGATATCATGGACCCTCATCTATCAAAGAACTTTTCCAAATGCCAAAATTCTATCTTGATTTGATGATCTGGACAAATAGGCTTACCTTCAATTGATTGAAAAGTTCTCGAGGAATTTTGCACCTCAATGCCGATTGCAGAGCTTTGCCTTGTAGAAGATTACATCATAATAGACAAAACAATTGGCATGATAAAATTCCATAGCTTCAAGACTCTAGAGTTGTTTTTGGAAATTTCATGCTCCCTTGAGGCAACCCCTAGGGGGCTTAGAGCTGTTAATTATTTGATATTCTATCAATGTTTCAAGTTGTTTTTTGGGCAAACGGAAACATTTTGGCCATTTCAATGGAAACAAAATTAGATTTTGTTCCTTGCTTCTAAAACATACCATTTCAGATTATCTTCATAAATCTGTTTGAAGCTCAAATTTCAATCTAATCTTGATGGCACCTCATAGTTAATAATTTGACACACAATAACTTAACTTTGAGAACTGTAACTATCAGTCATTAAGCAGCTAAGGCCATGTTGAAAACATAGAGGCAACAGTTATTGGCCCGTTTGTTGATAGTTGTCATTGTAGGGTCGAGCAGCCTTCTATAAATTTGAAAGCTATTCTACCTAACTGAATAACAGGGAGATCATATCTGGTCCAGTAAAAACATTTCAATCTTTGAAGCTGCTGACTTTCATTGTGCTTGTGGTTGGATGAGAGAGAGAGAGAGAAAGAGAGAGAGAGAGAGAGAGAGAGGAGATTGCCATTTGTCAAGAGTTGCATAAGGTTTTTTTAATGTATTAAGATGAAGCTGCTGCTCATTTTATTTTTGTAGGCTTTCAATGATGTTTGGAGGAGTTCAAAAATAAGATTATTGTAATTGCGAAATTGCCACAAAGTTTGGAGGAGATCAAAATTAAGATTGTACTAATTTCAAAATTGCAACACAAAAATGATTGGATTTATTTCTTTTTGGTTAGTTATTTCTGACTACCACTTTTTCTTGTCAATTTTTTTTTGGTTGTATCGAAAATATATTTAAGCTCCACAATCTGTGCGACTGCCTATTATGTGGACTTCATCTTTTTCTTTACTATTAGATAGTTTTATTAACACTTGGGTTTTAATCAATGATGGCTTAATAAGCGGGATGATATATTTACAAATTGATGTTAATGTCTACCTCTGAAAATGTTTGCCCAAGCATTCAACAGTATTGGGTGTTGTGATTCGAACTAAAAAGACAGAATGTTTACACTGGCAGTTGCAGACAGATTAAGAGGTGATTTCATCATGTTTGGGTTCTTTTATTAAATTCAATTACTGCTTTATGTACACATGCTTCTTCATTGCAGATTGTTTTGTTTAGTACTTTGTGTCGTCAGACGAGACTGTGCAACCACCAAAAAAAGGAGACAAGAGGTGCACTTGGCAGCAACAAATACCTCCATTAATATCAATCTGCACAAAATTTGGTTGGAGTATATGGAAAAAATATAACAGGAACAAGGCGTGGACAATATAGACCCCATATAACTTTCAATTTATTCTATTGTCTTCCTTGAACAGATGGAACCACTCCTTTGTGAATTATTGCATTTCACTCCCTTGCTGATATCATGGACCCTCATCTATCAAAGAACTTTTCCAAATGCCAAAATTCTA